AAATTTTGCTTTATAGAATACTTAAATCTAGATTTAGATGAGATTTTTTTAGATTCAAACTCTCATGTTCTGGTCTAATTTCTTATTCTTAATTTTAAGGTATGCTTTTTGGTTCTTTTTTTTCTTTTCTTCTTTCTTTTTTTAAATTAGTATGCATTTGAAGTACATAATGATATAGTCCTCATGGGAAGTTGGTACGTATACATAAAACATTTTAATTCTCTTTTCTCTTTTTTAATCTGACTTAGATGGAGCTCATCTTTCTCAGTGCTACCTGGACTCTAAACTTTTTCTTTTTTCAGGACTGGGGATTGAACCCAGGGCCTTGGCGATGAGATACATCCACAGTTATTGACTCTGGTTTCTAGATCCCATTGCAATAGATTTTACTAATTTGAACCTGACACCGTAGCTTTAGGAAATTTTTGACTGAAGATCAGGAAATTTTCTTTTTCTCACCATAACTATAGAACTGTATAAAAGTAAATTCTGCTACATGAAGATGATTTTTCTACACAAGATAGCATGAAGAGTATAAAATCATAATTCACACTTTTCCTCGGCCCAGAGCTCATGGGGCTCCTGTGCTTTTCCCAAAGCACAAAGCAAACTCTCCCTTCTCATTCCTTCTGAGGTTGCCAGTGCCAGGCAAAGCCTTCTTCCTTTCTTTCTCGTTCAAGCACGTGGTATGGCTGCCTCTCCTCGTGCCCTTGGTGTCAAGGTCTATTGCGCATACTTCTGGCTGCTGAGTTCTGTGTGGCTTGTGTCCCGCTGGCCTGGAGCGTTTCCTTCAAGCAGGTGACCAATCACTGCTCTTTACAGCGGAGAACTGAAGGACATACGGCTCCCTAAGGGGAGGAGTGCTCCAGACAAAAGCAATAGCCAGAGCAAGATGTCAGGGCAGGATGCAGTTTGTTAATTGCTTTCAGGCCCAAAAAGTAAAAGAGGGAAATTTTACCTAGAACACGATACACAAGTAGGAAAGTGGCATAAGCTGATAATTATTACTGCAGAGAAGTCTTCACTAACAATCACCAAGTACCCCAGTCTTTTATCTTATTATCCTTTCAAATACTCTTTTGAGAAAGCTCTCATTTATTTGCTTTTTATTGTATATATTCCTTGCCTGAATATACATTCTATTAATAATAGATCTTACCTCTCTTACTCGTCTTTATTGGGTTCACGTTAGTATACAATGAATATTTGATGAAAAATACAAAAATTTGAATGAATCAATAAATGAGTGGATGTGGTAAAAGGGTTAACCTGAGACCTAATTATGTAGGGCTTTAAAGAATATAGAACAGATTTGGGATTTAAAATTAATGAGAAAAAAATGAAGAGTTTTAAGTCAAGGGCAATATGATCTGACTCGCCTCAGAATAATCTCTGTTGTGTCAAGGACAGATCTGAGAGACTGGGAAACAGTTTGTGTGGTTTAGCTCAATGTTATGGCAGCATGAGAAACAGCAAGAAGGTGTAATTCATTGGGCTGGATGTTTGACATAACCATGAGAAGACTTCTGGATTGGAGGTGAAGAGCTACGAACAGAATGGAATCTATGAATGAGGAGAAAGAGGACGTTGTGCTTGTTTGCTGTTCATCGGGGGAGGTTTGGTAGAGATACAGAATTCCTTTTTAATCAGGTTTGAGCTGTGTGAGTTATGCAAAGGGAACTGTCAAGGAAAAACCTTAGATCTAATTAGAAAATGGAGATTTCAGAGTTGTTTGTACATAGGAGGAAAAAGATCCAAGGGAAGAGATAAAGACAGTGAGAGGTGATGGAGAGAGATCAGGGAGGACCCAGGCTCTATCCCCAAGGAACTGTGAAAACTGCATAAAAATTGTCATGTTGACAAAAGGTAGGGTGCTGACCTTTAAGATAACTATATACCTGTCCTCATGAAGTAGTACACTGTACTGTTTAATTTTGAATTCAACTTCAGCAGACTGGAAAACACCTAGGAAGTTAGTAAAGGACCTTTCTGAGCGTGTCTTAGAGGGTGCTTCTAGAGACAGTTGGCAGGTGAGGCAGCAATTAGAGGGTGCTCTGATGGTGGGAAGATGCACTGAATAGTCTGCAGGCACAGATGGAGCAAAACCAGGAGCAAGAAGTCTCCAGGGCAGGCTCTGCTCTCTGCCTCCACTCACCATGAGCTGAAAAGCTTTGCTTGTTCACATCTTTGCGCTACACTCACAGGACTGCCTCACCTCAGGCCAGAAACTATGGAACAAGTCCACCATGAGCTGAAAACTCGCAAACCAGAAACCAAAATTAATCTTTCCTTTTTTTTTTTTGAGTTTATTTTCTCTGGTATTCTGTCACAGTGACAGAAAGCTCCAGTAAAACTGTGTTGGAACCTACCCTGGCTTTTTTCTCTTCTAGATCTGTATCTTCTCAGAGAAAGTGATAATTGTTCTTATCATAGAGAAACAGGCTTCAGGGCAACTTGGGGGTCAGAAATCTTCCTACCTTTCACACACATGAATTTAATTCTAATTCTTGTAAAAGGATAGGATCTTCACATCTAATTGGAAGTAATGAAGTATAGAATAAAAGTATCTCATGCTTACCTCACAAGGGGTAACATTTTTGTTCACATCGCTTCTATGTTAAAGTTCACCCCGGAACTTCAGAATGTACACACACAAAAGGGACCCTGATACTTAAAGCAAATTTCAACCTGGTGAATTTTATTTAAAAAATGTAGGGCTGGAGAGTCAGCTCAGTGGTTCTGCCTTGTAAGCACAAGGACCAGAGTTCAATTCCTGGTAAAAAAGAAAGAAGAAAGAGAGAGATAAAGAGAAAGAAAGAAAGAAAAAAGAAAAAAGTGTATTCATTCAGTTCTAATTTCAAATCATTGCCCCATTAACCTAGGTGTATTAAAGCAGTTTCTTAAAGATTACAGAAGTACTTTTTCAAATGGACTTAAGTCTGTATAAGTCCATTTCTAGAAAATATAAATCTAGTTCTTTTTACTAATTTTGCTTTTTCCTATGCCTTTCTTTGTGTTAACCTTCCCTTAAAAGATAAAAATGTTGCCTATCATCTCCATTATTTTCCTTATCCTTCTTAATACTGCCTAAGAGGTATCAAGAGATAGAATGGCCTGTAGGGTCAGAGTTTAGGAAATGTTCAAGATGAAGGAGCTTAGCTGGGGTGGATGGAACAGAGGTTAAGGATATAGCAGGCTTCTCAGGAATACAAAACAGGGTAAAGAAACAAGACAAAGACTGGTGTGGGGTGGGGTTAGGGCTTGAGGGATGGAAACAGAACCAAGGAGACAACGAGGGCCAAGATAATACAGTCTAAGATGATGGTCAACCAAAGTGAGATATTAATTGTATGTTGGACAAAGGACTGAGTCAGACAATGGAGGAGAAGATGAAGGTGGAATATGTTGTGCCAGAAAGTGATAAAACGTCCAAATAATAAAGGAAACTTGTCAGTGGATAGATGCGCTTTAGGAGGTTCTTACTGGCCCAACCAGGAATAACAGGAGCTTCAAACTCAATAAGGATGACAATGTGTCATATCCTATTGAATAAAAGAGATATCTATAAATCTCTATTGACACAAATAAATGAATGAGTAAAGATGTAAGAGACAGAAATTTTCTACATGGTATAATGCTAATGAACACTGTAAATATAGATAAATGATAGAATTAGAAATCACTATTTGGTAGCCCTCACTGTTATGATGAATTCAGATAAAAAATTATCAGTGAATGCTAAATCTAACCTAAATCTAATGTGAAAGTTTAAAATGATGTAATATTTGTTTTTCTTTTGTGTCAGGGATTAAACTCAAGGTATTTTACCACTGAAGTGCACCCATTGCCCAAAATTTACATAGTTTGAAAGCATTTCACAAATGAAAAGCTATTAAAATTATAATACAGAAACCTAGTGAGTTGGGGATTTAGCTTAGTGGTTCCGCCACCTGCCTTGGAAGTGCAAGATCCCAAATCTGATCCACAGTACCAAAAAAAGAAAAAAGAAACCGAGCAGACACAAAATTTTGTAACTCCTGAGTGGATACAAAAAGCGGGTCATCACTGTGGAGAAATTCCTACTTAAAAAAGCAAACTTTAAGGGAGACACTCATCAAAACATTTGGCCTTTACTCGAAAGTACCAACATCACAAAAAGGAATAAAAGACTAAGCAAAGGCTCCACAGTGCAGGCTAACAAAACCTGACAAGGAAATCCAACGAGTGACCTTGGATTAAATAGTAGGCTAAACAGCAACAACAACAAAAAATTAAAACAGCATAGTGCTGGACAGTTGGTAAATGGGAACCGGGTGTTAGGATGAGATGATAGTGCTTTCTCAATGCTAAATTTCTAATTTTGTTTAGTACATGATACCATGTCTGCAATGATATTCAAATAATTCAGTAGGGAAGAAATGTATGCACGATGTGTATCACAGAAGACAAAGTGATAAATAGTCAAATATTGCACTAATAACTGAGGAAGCCAGAAATTCACTTTACTATTCCTATTATATGTTGGTGAAAATATTTCAAAATGAGTAGTAAAAAAAAAAACAAGTGTTTATTAATACATTCATTGAAAAAACATCTTAACAAAATAAATACAATTATAAAATTAAAAGTATTCAGAGTAAAAAAGTTATAAAACTATAATCCTAAAGAGTTATCAGTATTATAACATATTTCAGTGTCACGTTATACTTCAAGCATTATACCATCCTAAAGGTAATTTATATTTCATTTTTTCCTTCATTGTACTGTTGGGCTAATGACTAAATTTTTTAAAAGGTAACTGAATACATACAAGTTTTAAATATAAAACTAGTACATACAAATTACAAAAACTACTATTTGAGAAAGTCTTAAAAATTATTGATGTTTCCTTTTAAAACTGATACATAAATGATACAAAGAATCAGAAAGCTTCAGTTTCACTCTCAAAGGAAGTAACAATATAAGCCAATATGCCCACTTTATCTTTCTTTCTTGGCTAGGTTTCCTATGTCAAAGCCATTGATATTTGGATGGCGGTGTGTCTCCTTTTTGTGTTTTCTGCGCTTCTGGAGTACGCAGCTGTAAATTTTGTATCAAGACAACACAAGGAACTCCTGCGATTTCGACGAAAGAGAAAGAATAAGGTAAGTGATTAAATGTATTGGGTTTGGTGGAATATCATTTTTGCTGGAAAGTGAATGTTTTATATTTAATGGAGATACACAGGAAAGAAATTGGTATTGGGGACTAAATGACAGTGTATTCCTTTATTTCTGTCCACTTAAAACTTTAAGTATCAAAGTAGCTTTAGGGAGAAAACGTTGACAATTTGCTATACTTTAACAAGGTATCTGATAGCATGAGAGCTTTATCAACTTCTCTAATGTACTTCTAGGAGCAACATCTTTTTTATATGAATGAATGAAATAGATCATATTTTAACTTGCAGTGTTAGTATTTCTCATGGTTTTACTTGATATGTCATAGGTATAATTATTAATGTTGTTCCTCTACTGAATAATTCCTGTAGGCTTAGTTCCCATAGAATATTACTTATTAATATCATGATATAACTTCACGCAAGACTACTTGATCTCCTTTATGGGTATTTTCACATTCTTAAACTATTTCTTCAGAAACCACAATTAAGTACTAGTGTGCCTTACTATCATCTGATAAAAGAAAATTTATTTAGGGCCAGTGATTTTGTTCAGTTTTGCCATGCCAACTTGGCAAGCAAGAGGTCTTGAGTTTCAGTCCCAGAAACTGGAAAAAACTTTTTATTTAGATCTTTAGGAAACCATGGAAAATTGTAGAAGTAACCTTCTACCTGGATTTGAAGGTTTGGAATAGGGTGCTTCTTTCTGTTAAGTCCAGTAATGGCATCTCCTTTATAGGCCCATGGTTTTGACTACAACCTTTCCTTTTCTGTAAGATAAGAGTTTCTCTTGATAAAAAAATACAGCAAATTTATTTCCTCTATTGTGAATGTGCCAACTGACATTTTTAAAACAAGTGGAATTTTAGAGAAACAAAATAATGTCAAAGTTGCCAGGGTAATTATAGCCAGGTACAATAAACTGGAATAATTAAGTCAAAACATAAATCTTAAAGACACTGATCTGTGTGTACAGTATAATTTTATTAAAGATTTCTAAAAGTTTCATGGTTTCTGAATTATTGACTACCTATATAATCAAACTGTTTCTAAAGCAGTAAGTTTTGATTCCTTGAATCCACTCAGTGTCAAACATATTCTAAAGCAGTAACAAACATTTTTAATAAGTCCTCCAAAAGTTATCACTGAACTAGTAAACAAACACCCCAAAACTGCTGCCTGCAAAGAACATCAACAGTGGGACAGAAAACAGTGTCTGAGCTCACATATGATTTATGAAAATGAAGGCATATTATTTGTATATTGAAATGTACTATGGTGGAGAGATTAAGTTTTCCTTATCTGCTTTCTCCACCTTCGTCTGGATTACTGGTCTTCTATTTTATCACTATTCTTTAATCTTCTGTATCTCCCCTTACACACACATACCTGCTCCCTCTTTCTCTCACAATTCTTGGCTGAAATAGCCTAACAGGGGAAAAAAAATGCTGTATCACAAGGGTGAAGCTTTTCTTTGTCTTTCCAATTAGTGACCAACTAACTGATAAAGACAATTTTCCCATTTGTATCATTTATCACACCAAAGGTGATACTCATTTTTCCTACAATAATTTCATTTTAGGCTTTTACTTCTCACTTCCTTACCTTTTTCCTCCCTGTCCTCATCTTAGAACATCTCAATCACATGGTGCAAACTTAGAAATGCAAAATATGGTGTATAAATGGGCATAGTCTTAGAGTTCAAACATATTCTGTATCCACCAGCCATTGTGTCCACTGGATAAAATAATAGATGCTTAATTGTGGATTTTCCTTTTTACACAATTATTCTTATAAAAATGTCTCTGTACTCAGTTTATCACATGTGAGGGTGGGATAAAAATATTTGATGTTCTTTATTCTTTAGCTTTCAGTAAGATCAAAAGATCAATTTTCTCAGTGACTGTTATTCTAGGAAAATGTAGAAACACAAAAATGATAGTATCTTATTTTCTAGTCACAACTTGAAAAAATTCAGGAAGCAAATGTAATTAATGTCATAAAGTTTTGATCCAGAGGAAAGTAAGTCAGTTGTTTCAAAGTTCAATTCATATCTTGCATATGTGAAAGTCTATTGATACACATGTATGCTCAAACGTTATATGTGATTAAAAGCAATTGTGTAATTAAATTTAAGTATATATGACTTGACTCTGGTTTTTTCAATCCCTCTTGGTTCACCTTACCTTCCCACAGACAGAAGCTTTTGCATTGGAGAAGTTTTACCGTTTCTCAGACACGGTAAATTGACTTTCTTAACTCTAAATACAGGAATGTGATCATAAGTAAAAAACAGACAGCATATTCTGAACCTGGGCAGTGTTTGGTGGGGAAATGCAACCCTTTCATATGTAAAGACAAGCAAACACCATTTCCCCTCAAATAAGGAAATTCTTTTTTCTAAGAATTCTATTGTCTTTCTCATTCATTAGTAGGATATTTAGATAGCCTTCATTTTACTAACAGAAATATTTGACTGGTCAAAGCAATCACATATCTTTTTTCAACAGAAATGTAATATATATTTTGTAATTATCTCCACAGAAGAAATGGTCATATATCTGATCAAAATAAGTTGCAACCTTATTTATACAATAAATTCTAAGAAAAGAAGCAAGAGTGACTAAAGGTAATGAAGTGAAAACTAAGGCCCAAAATACTTTGTATAGTGTATGGTGTATGTATCTTTAGACTATATTCTTAATGTTTAAATATAGTGAAATTATTTTTAGTAAATGACTTAATTTTTACAGTAGCATCCTTTGAAATTTTCAAATAAAAGGAAACTACAAGGACTATGTTCAAGTATAATGGCTAAATATTTAGAAAGAATCTAAAATATAGTGTATTGGCCCATGGATAATATGACAGGAGCCCCTAATATAACATGCATCATTAAATATGTATGTTCCAAAGCCAGAAATTTGAACTAGGAAATCATATACAAGTAGTCTACTTTAAGAAAATAAAATTTATGCAGTAAAATGTATTTAAAAAGTAGCTCCCCAGATGAGTCTACTATACTCTCCAGTAAAGAATGCCTTTAATAATCTGATCTGCATAGCAGATTATCTAGACCCAGTGTTATTTTAAAATACTGTTTTCTTTTAATGCAATTCTCCCTTTTTGTCCTAGAAAAATAATCTCACACGATCTATTTGCCTTTACTTGATTATTTTACCTATAAATTTTATTTGCATAATAAAGTAGTATTTATATATATACTTATACAATAAACATAAATACATATGTCAGACTACATAGTACAGGAGAGAGAGGGAAATGGGGAGAGAATAAATATCTTCATATACATGTACATCTGTCTCTTTGGAACACAAACGTAATTACGTCTCCAATAACTAAACAGTTAATAGTTCTAGAAACTATCGAAAGAAGATATTCTATTAGTGATTGCTTTACAAAGAACACTGATGAAGAGGCAGGCTTACTAAATGGACGATAATTTTTTAAAAAAGAATATGATAGTGGAAATATATTCACCAGAAAGTACATGAATCTAATTTTCTTTTTAAACTACTGGAAACATTAAGCAAATCTGGGGATGGTAAATTTGAAAACTATTTTCCTCAACCCAACAATCTCATTGATTTTATCATATATTGTTTAGAGATAATCTGAACACGCTAAATCTTGTGTGTGTGTGTGTGTGTGTGTGTGTGTGTGTGTGTGGTACCAGGGATCGAACTCCGGTCTTTGCACTAATGAGGCAGGTCACCGAACAACACGCTATATTGTGTGTGTGTGTGTGTGTGTGTGTGTGTGTGTGTGTGGTACCAGGGATCGAACTCCGGTCTTTGCACTAATGAGGCAGGTCACCGAACAGCTGAGCTAAATCCCCAGTCCTGAACACGCTAAATCTTTAAACTAGCAAAATCAAAATGAGTCTAAAAAAAGCTGAGATTGTGCTCTATTTTCACCCACCAATACTGGTTGATGTGAATTTTCTTCAGTACTCCACTTTGACAAAATAAACAAAATTGCCTTATTATACAAAGTTGTCACAAAGGGAGACCTTTTAGTACTACAAATATTATTCCTAGGAAAGTTGACTCAGCATTGACATGGGAATAAAATGATGATACTTTACTTTTTTTTTCATAAAAGTATCAGATAATCCTTGATCATTTGTGAAAGAATAGAAGTTTGCTGTTGTATTCAAATTTCCCCACCTACACTGTCCTAGTCTGCTGTGTGCTGAATACCCACTGCACCATTTCATGGATGTTATCACCAGTGCTGTGTGGGAGTATGTGTGATACAGAAGGATATTGGTTAGAAGTGACTATTCTTATATATCATTGCTTAATCTGGGAAGCTTTTAAAGTCATCACAGTATTTGAGTATTTTATTTGTTGAGCAAGATGGATGAAATGGGATCGCTTAATGCATTTCATATAGCTTCCTCCACATTATGAAAGTGATGTAATGGTTTTCTGAAAGAAAACACATTTACATGGTACTCTAGTAATTCTTCCTACCTAATATCATTTATTAATTATTATCTGCATATGCAAATGAAATAGAATATTGCTACTGATTTTAAAAATGATGACCAAATTTATGATTTGTTAGACATGATGGTTATGCTGCTTAATAAAGGTGTATCATTGACTGCTTTTCAATAATTTTAATTATTTGCTTGCATATTTGTGTGCTGTATTACTTAAAATAACTTCTAAGGATGAGAAATAAACAACTTTTCTATCCTGTACATTTTGTCAACTCTATATTATTAGGACAAATGTGCATGTATACCAGATTGGTTGAAAAGATAAAGGTTTGTGGTTAAAAACAGTATGTACACAAAATTATTGAATAATCTTTCCATTTTACTTCAGTTTATGCTATATTCTAATGCAATTTTTTAAATAGATAAAATGTTTCTGATAGATTTTCTTATACATACCTGAGACAAAGTAGTTTTCCAATAATTTAGATTCAAATTCTATTGAATGACTCACATCACTGGTTGAAATTTTATTCTCAAGTAAAACAAAAATTGTAGTACAATAATTATTTCCTGAAAACAGCTATTTAGAGTTTATGTTAAACAAAGCAACTCCTTAAGACCATTATATCCTTTGAAATACCTGTTCAAAGTAATGTTCAATAAAGTAAAATAATTTCTATTTAAATTCAAATGCATTAAAGTGGCTCCCATCTCAAAGTTAAATAAAAATTCTTCTTTACATCTGAGATTGATAATTTAATATCACACCATTCCATAATTATGCATTGACACTACAAGATTTTATTAGGCTAGAAATAGAAAGACTTTTTTAAAAATTCTATTGATTTCTCATCTACTCTTTAAAATAGTTTCATTATAATTTCATAGTATTTTAACAAAAAATGAATCTTTAAAAACTTACATTTTACCATTTATTAATCTCCAAAACATTTCAGAATCTAAATTCAATGTCAGTCATAAATTTGGCTAATTTGTAGCTAATTTAGATATCAATTTTAATAAATGTACAGTTCTCTTGAAATTACATTTCCAGTAATTTTATATTAAAAATTGACTAAGAAACATAAAATATTTTGACCTCATCTATCATTGCATTCTTTAATACTACAATTTCTAAACAATACAGAAATTTTTATAGATAATTGAAACCAATATTTCAAATTAATATTTTAGAAACATTAGTTTTAATTCATTTATATTTTTCATCTGATATCAGATTTTCTAAATGATTAGGATTTATCCCCCAATAAGCCATTGTTATACTTACTAACAATATTTAAAAATCCACACGCTGAAATCATAAATGGAAATTATCAGTTCAGTTTTGTCTCTCTGTTACTTTCTGATTTGACAATAAAGTTATAGAAAGCATTTTAAACAAGATCTTTGCAGTAATCTATTTAGCATTTTAATTACATAAAAAATTCCCCAAATGTATGTACTAAGGGAGAAACATTAGGTTGAAAAATTGTATATTTTACCTGTTTTGTCTTACAGTAATTGACTTAATCAATACTCCATGCTATCTTATATGTTTAATATATTTAATTCTCAGTGAGTTTTCACACTCATACCCAAGTAAGGTTTTTGTTGGTGGTGCTTCATTTGGATAGCATGTGAGTTCTTATATCAAATATGTGGCAATATATTATTTTGATAATGGAAGTAAAGCAATTCTACTGAAAAACTATAAACTTTTGATCTTATATATTTACTTCTAATTCTAAGGTGCATCTGAAATGAATCAGTGTTGAGCATAATTCTTTTAATAAAATAAAAAGACAAAGTTTCCCAATGTAGCATTTGTGCATGATTACTGAAATATTTTTCTCAATTCTAAACTTTAAAAAAATGATAAAATATTTTCCTATTTAAAAACTGTATATAACTAAATGGCATTTACATTTTTCATTGTGTAGCACTATAAGTTGCTTTGAACATAGGAACAGGGTTCAACCCTGGGTAACTTAAGCCATGTCTTTAATTTTTTTAATAAATCATGTTATTTAGCCCATTTTTAGTTAATTTGATTCAATCTTTATTACTACCTATATTTAGACTTATGAAATGCTTTAATTTTATGATCTTTAAATATTGTCTATCAGTGTCTTTAAATATGTCAAAAGTTTTTGATAATTTTTTTGACTTTTTGATTTTTTTGGTATGTGATTCATGTGAATTTAAACTGCAAACATTTCCAGAAATTTGAAGTAGCCCCCAGGTATATTTGACTACTAACAGAAAAATAGTTCTCTATATGTAAGCAAACATAAACATAATTATATGGCTAGGTTATTCAAAACACAGAATTGGGTCAGTAAAAAATTAATTTAATATGCCTTCTAATTTATTGACAATAATAATAATAATAATAATCTAGAAAAGCTTCAAGCTTTATTGTTTAGGAGAACAGTCTTTCAAAGAAATACCAATAAGCCAATGTTTTTTTTTACAAAATTAAAATCTCTTGCTACTTTAGTGATGCAGGGACTGTGCTGTCTCATTCCTGACTCCTCCAGAGAACAGAGGAGCACTGTCGCCAGCCTGGTCACTACCTGCCAACAGGACTGAGGTCCCATTTCTGAAAGAGCACTGCCAAGGCTCCACGCGCTTCATCTCGTGGACATATTAAAGTATTTCTGTTTCTCATGAAACTTTTAAAATGCTAAAGACTCTGGTTGCATGAATTACATCTGTAAGGAATTTTAGTGGTCATGTACCAAACGCCATGTGTGGCAGTGATAAAAAC